GTGATAATCCCGACTTCCGTAGATATGTAGAGCGTGTAGACTACAAAAAGGGGGATTGAAAGGGCTCGGGTCGCGATATAGTCGTGTGCCATGCGTGTCGTTCACAGCAAAGAAGAGAATACACATGATAATGCTGTCTATGGGTGTCGCACCAGTGTACGTGCTCACTTCTTTTCGCAGGCATTCAAGGGCCAACCCTTTTAATCGGAATTGTTCCTTTGATCCAACCTGATGACCTGGGCTGCCGTAGGTCAGGCGGAGAACATCCTGGTGGTATGACGCTGACCATAGCACCGCGTACAGCTTCACCTTGTCGTCGAATGGGAATGCCCATAACTGGTAGCATTTGGATGTATAACTCAATGGGCGGAAATTTGGCCAGATTGAGGTACTGGCAAAATTCAAAATCTCTTGCACCCTTAGCCGGGAGGTCGTATCGTCAATAGGGATCATGGGGTTGAAACTGCCAGCTCCTATATCCCACGCTTGTATAGCGGGAGCTTGGCTGTGCGGAGGTTGGGGTTTCCCACAGAAAGAACATAGCTGGCCTTGTCCTAGTCTTCCGGGCTCAGGCACCTTCGGCTTGATCGCTTGGTATCCAGGGTTTCGTGATTCCAAGTAAGGTTGCGCCGCCAAGAGAGTAGGCTCATCATAGCAGGTGCACTTAGTATTCCTTTCACCCTTCATCAGTGCTTCCAGTTCAAGCTCCGCATTGCGCCTTTGCTGAAGTTTTCTTTTGCGGTGTGCTTGCTGGAAAAGCTTGGATCGAATCGGACCTTTCTTGTCTATCAGCGCCGGTCCCCCGACGAAGACAAACTGGTCCTCTGGTCCTTTTTTTGGCTGCGACTGCATTTGGTGCTAATTCCGTCCACCTCGGGAGAAAAAGAGATTTGGGTGCACGGGGCGTTCGTTTGTCGATGATGTGATGTCTGAGGCGTACGGATTTTTTCTCTTTTGTGGTGAATATGACTACAACTTTAGCGCTACATTTGGAATAACCGTGACTTAGCCGGACTGCGCCCTCAAAATGCAACTTCAAACTTTGTTTCCATATCGTTACTTCGAAACTTCGACAAGTGAGCGCAAGGGCTGGTCTCTTATCCACACAGGAAGGGCGCTAGTCTTGTTGGCTGGACCTGCCTCGTCGCCAACAACCCTGGCCTTTGATATGTAGCTCGGATGCAGGGATGAGACCCTCCAAGAGCTTTGTTCTGACCCCTTCTACCACCACTAGTAGGTACTCACTCGTGTCAAGTCCAGGGAAAACAGAGTGCGAGGGTATGAGTCCTAACTGCTCGTTGAATTATTTCTTGCTCCCAGATTTAATCAAAATTAGGAAAGAGAATCGATTTTACTACGAATAGTGATGGAAGTGCATGTTCATCGAGTTCGTCATTTGCACTGCGCAGGACGAAAAAGGACCCACATAGCCCTGGCTCAGGTATGCTTTCAATATCCACATTTCGGACCCCATAGCGAGTTATTTTAAACGCGTAGGGAGGTTCTCTGGTTCCTGGTACTCCTCATCATTAGTAGAGAGGTCGATATCAAAATACCCTAGCCGTGGGCATGGTTCTGAAGGTGTTTTTGGTGACTTTATGCGGTTTATAGAGTGTCCAAAGACGAGGTTGCGGAACTGGGGACTAACCCGATGAGATGCTGGCTGATGAGCTTGGCGACCAGGATATCACGATGAGGTGCTAGAGTCTAGTGGTTAATGTGTGCTGCCTGAGAACTGTACACCAGGTCTCCAGCCAAAGGAGAGAAACAATCTTTCAACTTGTCCATCACGTGGGAAGGAGGGAGAACCATCTTTTGAGATCAGCAAAATCTTAGCGAGGGTTGCTGTGCTGGAAGCTTAGACCGAGCCCCGGGACTTGCCGGCCACTCAACTAGAGTGGATATTGGGAGCTTCGACGGAAGTCCGCCAACGAGAAATTGGGTCGCCTGGACTGCAGATTGAGATATGCATGTTTATGAGATCTATAGCGTGCATATTGGCAAGGTGGTAGAGAAAAAGTGATGGAGAGCGGGTAAAGCAGGAGAGGTTCGAAGAGTCAGGCACGTCGTTGGCTCCAAGAGATTAGCTCAAATTTTGTACCAAAAAGGAAATTAATTGCTAAGCCCGATCTATTATAACCGTGCCCTGTATGTCGTGTATCAATTATCCGCTCACACTTTGCCTTCTGCTATACCCCTGGACGCACGTCATGAAGCTGCCGTGTAGAGCTTGATATGCTCGCAAGATCATGCTCCTCATAATCCGACCGCTGGGCTTGCTTGACGATGACATGAGACGTCTTCTGGATTCCGCCGGCCGGCTGCATCTCAATCTCCTCTCCTCCCGCCTCAACGTAAGTCGTGTTTCCTCGTGGGAAAATCGATGCCATCTTTTTGCTGCCTTCGGTCACGCCGCGCGAGCTTTTGGGGTTCGATCGGGATCGCGAGTTGGAGTAGTCGGCGTAGTCGGACGGGTTGCTGGCTTTAACGACCTTGGTGATGAGCTCGGCCATGTTCATTTCGATGTGGAGCTTGACGAGGTAGGCCAGCGGGTGGAATTGTAGGTATCTGTAGACTTGATGAGCATTTTGAGGTTGACAAAGACGAGGAAACTTACACAATATCACTAGGAAGAGACATCATTCCAACAAGAAGAACCTTGGCAAGTCAGCATGTTTTTAGGTAGGTTGGTGGATCCACTTACATCCATCGTCATGGAAATTACAATCATGCCGAGGTTGACTCGCCATAATCGGGTGTACTTGGTGAGGCCGTTGGCGACAAGTCGAGACTTGACCAGATGAATGAAGTAGAGATTTAGAGCAGCATCGATGACCAAGAAGATGCACTTCTCAATGCGATCCCAGATGTTGTTGATGCGGATGTAGGTGTCGTTGATCTGAAGTCGAGCCGGGACCCAAATGCAAAAGACACTAACGTTGATGGCCAAGAGGAGCAAGAACACGCCCAGCTTAAGTTTCCATGCGTTTTGCCGGACGACCATGAGAATCGAGATGCGGTTGATGATGATTTGCATAAGGGTCTGGATCTGAACCGCCCACAAAAAGACTTGGATCGTTAGTGTCAGTTGTGGCTATGCGTGTCGGTGGACATACCAATGACGAAAAAAATGGCAAAGCTCGGTGGAATATGTCCGCGCAAGTAGAACCAGGTGATGGCACTCATAATGGTGCTGCTTGCCCATTCGGTCCATAGCATCATGAGGTAGATGTTCGTCCTCCGGCCTCTCTTCCACGACTTGACCGTTTGCCTCATGCCCTTTGCTCCGGTAAAGATACCCACGCCGAGGGAGAACCCCCACGCTATACTAGCAATGTTCATGTCATCTTTGCTAGGATGGACGTATTTGAAGTCGTCGGGGATCAAGAAGCCAGTCATTGTGGCGATGGGGAGCGACTCAAAGGAGTGGACGGCATAGACTGCTGGAATATAGAAATAGGGTCAAAACACCAAGAAACTGCCTCAACGGCCACTGTCCAGTATATCAAGCAAGAAAGACACGCAAGGCAAAGTTGGGGCTGTTGGGTAGGTATGCACTTACTGCGCCCGCTCCACTGCTCCAGGGATCGCACGTCCCGGTATTGAGCTTGGGCGGGACTTCTGCGTGAGCTGACTACTGCAGATCACTAGTAGTTATTTCAGTGGTGCTCCGTATCTGTTAGATCTCACCAAGCATAATGATTGCAATCAAGGAACCAGAGGCTATCATGGCTGGGTGTGTCCGCTCGGAAGTCTTCCCCGCCGAACATCTCCGGGAACAGCTCTTCCGTATCGAGCTGATCGTCGTCGAGCGAGAATGATACAGGAGCTGCCGAAGCCACGATGGGTTTGGCCAACAGGGGGCCTGGACTTTTTGATCATGTCTTGCGGCTCCGCATGACGGGAACCGGCATGGCCTGAGAATCGGCACTACAGACGCAATGGGTCTTGCACTAGACGCAGCGGCCTCTTGCGAGAGCCGTATCGCGCCTGTGTCAAAAACGTGGTTCTTCGAGATGAAGACGCCACGCGGGAAGCCCATCCGAGCCGCTTTCAGTCCGACGCCACGGCCCAGCGGGTACCTCTTACACCTGCTAACGCATTGAACGGAGTGGACTGGCAGTAGGATGCGTCCAATCGAGGCTGCGCAATGGCTTCAGCGGCTCCGCGGTGGAGATGGGAGCTAGCGACACGCGAGAACGCGAGTCAGTCTCGCAAACCTGGGACCATCTAATCTTGTATTGATGGGATGCCTCGCTCTGTACAATCTTGAGTCGGCTGAAAAGGAAGTTGGATGAGATAAAAGCACGGCATGGGGACGAATCAGGAGTATCGTGGGCCTGGGAGGGAGATCTCCCGCCTCGATCGGTACCGGGAGCCGGTGAGATGAATGGATGCCGCAGAGATGCAACGTTGGTATGGAGAGGTCAAAGGCGGAACGCAATGGGCTGATGAAGAACGCTACCTAGGGTGCACGGTGAAGGATCTCGTGCAGCTGAAACAAGGATCGATATTGCATGCGTCTCAACTATGCGACCTAAGGAGAAGTTGTGGCCTACGTAACTACCGGCGTCAGCCGCATCCGCTGCCGCGTCTTCTAGAACTCGAGACGGGATGAATCAAGGAACGGTCAAGTCTTGCCATGTAATTCACCGAGAATAGGCAGCTATTGGACTTGGACGCATTCGGTAGTCTCGGTCGTACACCGAGCCCGTGTTGGTCATCAACGGCGTGTCCAAACCCCAGCACGATTTCCAAAGTTTAAAGCCGAGTGAAACAATGATCGACCTATCGTCCAGGGTTGGGCGGCCGGAACTGGGATGATTACACGCGGACCATGGCCGAGACGAGGATATCGATGTTTGTAACAAGGATGTGCCAACTAAAACATGTTGCAAAGCAAGATATTGAGAAGAAATCGTCTAGAGTGGTGAATTGGTTAAAACTGAGAGGCTACTTGTGCTCCATTTTGACTGCCGCCATCCAACCAGGAATTCACTTCCCCGGTGGCGCAATTGGCTGTGAGTACAACCGAGCTTCTGCACCACCACCAACAAATACTGACTAGTCCTAAAGAGCGCGTTCGACTGTTATACAACATTAAATCGAGAGGTTGATGGTTCGAGCCCATCCCGGGGAGTTCACACTCAACGTTCAATTTTTTTTGTTCATGCTCCTTTTTTTTGCACTTCATGCACATTTCATGCGGTCGGTGGACATTTGTAGCTGGCCGTGGCAAAGCTACGGGGCATCATCTGTTCACTGGAGTGATCTTGATGGCAACTCCTTTTTTTGCCTTTGTGCTAGCAGCTTGTCCTTGATGGAGCAGCCACCATGTCAAGAGTGACCATAATGACGGCGTCAAGCTTGGATAGCCGCTGAGTTATATGGGGCCATCTCTTCATAGGAAAGAAATGGGTGTCCTGTAGTCTCTCAGGCTATGTCTGAACATGTGCTACTGGCTTAGCTGTCCGCTATACGCGGCTAAGTCACTGGCACGAAGTCAAAAATAAACACACCCTGAAGATGTACGTCATACAGTACGGGTTGTTCTGATTTTGTTTCGCAAGTGTTGTGTTCGGTTTGCCGGTGCTGAGAATCTCAAAAGGAAGTGTCCAACTGTCAATGTGTCGACTTGAGACGGCAAGACATCAAGAATATCATCAGATTGTCGTTATCGTTTCGCATCATCATGTCATGGGCTCGAAGGTATTCTAATCCTCGCAATTCAAATCGAGGGCAAATCAATTGTAGATATCCCATCATCCTTCTTAATCACCCAGCAAGCTGTCCCAGGCCACCACATGGCCATCGTCAAGAGTGAACAAGCTCACTTCGAAGTTGCCCGTTCCGTACCAACTATCAGTCCCCCTCTCTCTGAACGCCCGCGTTGAGTACAACACCCTTGTCTTCCCATCCATCTAGTTCCTGAGGGTTCAATTCCGCAACAATCTGCCAGATCCGGCGCCGGTCGGTAAATCCGGGAGGGAGATAATCCGACATCATTATATTCCCAAGGGACGTAGACCCACCCGTATTCGACGTCTTTGACTGGGAATGTTGAGACGAGCCATGACCTAACGGGTGATCTTCTCCTAATCCCACTCTTCGTCTCCCAAGTCTGCTGACAGAACATCCATGACTCTTTCCTCGCCAAGGTCCCAAAAAAAAGGGTTTAACGGAAGACCTGCATCCAGCCAGATTGTGGCATCAGGTATGTGCACCTCAGGCCTAGCGACTCTTGGAAAACCTGGCCTGTAATTTCGCCCTTGAGTTCCTGGGGCAAGTTGCTGAAGCCAGTTTGGGAGTTCTGAGTGGAAGTGGCGGGATCCTTGACTCGTTTCAGGTTGGGCAGTAGTTGTGTCGTGAGAACTGGAATATGGGATGAATCGATGTCCCACTAAACACCGGATTAGCATGCAATATTGCCTTTGGGCATCTTAAATACCCATCCGCTCGGATCCTCAAACCATGTTTGTGAGTTATAATAACCTTGAAACCCCTATTCGATCGATCTCCAGGTGCCTTCTTGGGGCAAAGGGGGACAACCACACCGCAACCGTAATGTCCGTTGGAGTGCGACATTTCCCATCGTCGATTCAGTGTGACCCAGAGATCGCCCAGAGATCAAAGCTGAGATGCCGACGATGGTTTCATGGCGCGAGTGGCGATTTCTTCACAGACATGATGTACGCCGAAGAACCAGGAATCCCGGGCAACCAGTGGGCGTATGCTGTTAGGTTGATCGCCTCTCCACATGGAGCTACTCAGGGGCCCGAAGTACTCGTCTTGGGGGTCAACAAACTAGTTGCTCTAGAGCAAAGCCAGTTCCCCTTCGTGGTGGTAGCCTGCCCTAGCAGCATGCTGAGTGATGGTCAATTCTGGAACATGGCTTGAATCGCCATGATTCTTCTTGAGGGCAGACAAGCGAGGGCCCTAGAGGGCGATAGCGTTCGAGAGCCATTCCTCGGGACGCCAAAGATCGGGGCCACTCGTGGAGCTGCCTCTAAAACACCCAGGGCAAATGAAGTCCCCACAAATTGAGCAGAGAGGACGATCTCTCCGACAGCAAGTCATGGTGAAGAAGAAGATGCGCGACGAGTTGGAATGTGCAGAGTTGTCGACGCGAGAAAGGGCGAGGCAGAGTGCACGCTATTCTCCGCCGGGTCATCTTATCTCACCCCACTTTCATCGGAATATAGGACAAACATTGAAGTACTTCAAGAAATCAGACGCAGAACAGTAACTTCCCATGATTCATCCGATTTCATCCTATTACATCATCCACTTACGTCCATACTTGTCTCACTCTATGCCTGTCTGGCATCTGGTGGATCGATATGAAACCGCTTCTCCTGCTCTAGGCTTCTGGTCCCCTAGGAAGCCGGTGCAAACTATCACCATTCATTTCTTTTTCGAACTCCAATGGAATTGTGCCCACTAAGACATACCCAATTCAATATGAAACTCCCACTTAAGACTTCGTGTCATAAGGTTCCACAGGCCCTGCCCACATGGCTAATCTCCCATCTCCAACCTCAACTTCATTTTGCTCCTCCTCTGAGTCTCTTTCTGGTCCAACGTGCAGCGAATGGCTTCCCGTTAAGTCTTTGATTGGAAGCAGTTCGTCACTATTGATTTCCTCCACCTCCTCTCCCCCTCGTTGAGGTCATTTTCATGATTCTGGATTTCCAATACTACCACTCCTTCCATCGACGCCCAAGCACCTTGGTCGGGAAATATATCCCAACTGCCTGCAAAAAATACTATCCGCAATTCAATCTCAGTTCGTACAGGATCGGAATCTGAACGGATTTCAGGATCTAGTGCTTCTTCAGGCATCACTTCCGGCCTCCTGAGATAATCAATACCTGAACCGCCAGACCATAACGCCTCAATTACCGCCCATGAACCTACTGTAATTAACTCTGTTTCATCCATAGACGTACTTCAAACCATGTCAGTTGTAACGGACACCAACCAGAGCACCGTATCTAGATCCCCGGCGCCAGGTCAACCTACCGCCCCCCACTCAGGTGGTAATCTGATTGTGTGTGCGACATCTACGGGGTGGGATGACGCCGATGTCACCGAAGAATGCACCACAACATGCACCAAGAGCCACACTGGCTGTCTTGTAACAGGCGTCACTTCCACAACCTCAGCTGATGGTTGCAGTGCCACAGTGGACGAGCCTTGTGGACTCTGCTCAGGCCAGCTCGAAAACGACCCAGTTTTGCACACGACCACCAACAACTTTGAATATACCAAGGCAGGAAAACGATGGTCGTAGCGTAAAGACGACAAACAAAATCCCGTCGGACGATTCCCCATGACTGTCTATTTTCCACGGTGTCCAGAAGGAAGCGATGTATCCAAGAAAGACATTGCAAAGGTTGGCAATTCTGAGTTAGACAAGATCCACCGATGATACTACCAGGGGCGAGGCACCAACTGTGCTCTTCAATTTGTGGGGTCAGTGTCATAAAACCAGTTTCTTGGAAATGGAAAGTTTCTAGCAACAAGAAAGATCAACAGCCATCCATTGACCACGTCTTTTAAAAGAGCTTTCTGCGAGAATATTGGCGGGAGACCACCAACGCAAACAATCGGCACGTTCACGTTCACGACAACACACCCAGCAAGATTCAGAAAAATATCACCTGTGAAGACCTGATTTATTACGGGAGCGATACGTCTGGGCTGACCTTTATTAATACTTTCTTCAACGGGTGCCAAACGAAATAAGAACAACCAAGCTTGGCCGGTTGACCCTGAGTACTTGAATGAATTCATTGCATGAACACATGGACAAACGAGGCCAAGGTAAAATGAATGATTCGCAACCTCCCTCCTAAGATCACAACTGACATGTGGAGCCAAAGGCTGTATTGACTACTCCTTCTTACCTTGAGAAACGAGTAATCAAAGCTGTGAAGGTCCATCTCAGTCAATCCTCGACTTGGGAAGAGGTCCACAACGGCCTCAAGCTCAAGACTGATATCCTCGAGGAGCTATACATAGGCGTTGAGATGATAAAGAAAAGGCCAGCTTTGGAAGCCATGGTAAGACGAAAACAACGTATCTTTTCACGACTGTAGGTCCCAATGTACATGCCTGTGGAGACTCAACGCTGACCCTTACCTTTTCCACAGTCAAGATATTGATAACCACGCGCGAAGTTGCAAGAATGACCCGGGTGTAAAATCAGACATGTGGTCATTTGCGACTCGATACCAGGAGTTCATGGAAGATTGATTCACGAGGACCAAGAGCCATTCCATCAACCAGACCATCTCGGGCGCATCCACAACGCTACTTCCTCAAATTTTCGCCGGTATCGGCACTGCTATAAGCGTCGGGAAAGCCACAAGCTGGCCGACAAAGCTGGCCCAGAAAATACTCAGGATCAGCTGACACAGTTCAAAAACAAGTACAGGCATATGAAGCAGCTCGCGGCCAATCCCCCATCTGTGAGCATCAGTTAGTAGTGGAACTATGTATCGAAGAGGGATTCGGGGGTTGGGGGGTTGATGGAGATTCTTGCCCGTTGCAGTTGACTTCTCAAACAGACTCAACCAATTCGAGGTTGACTACCCAATCCCAAACGGACAGCTCAAGAGCTCCATTTACCACTCGGAAGCAATCATTTACCCCGAACGACGGATCCTTCATTACGACGTCATCTGCAGAGCCTACGGCTACCAAGGTTTCATTCGAGCTGAGAAACCCACAGTGCAATGACCCAGACGATTTCAAAGGCCACGCGAACATCAGCAAGCGTGGCGTCAAGTTGGTTATCGGACACGTACGCAACCAGCTCCACAACCACCAAGAGTTCATACGAAATGGAAACGAAGCCATGGGGTACATAACTCCAGATAGAGATCTCAACTTACATGCAGCATCTTTTCCCTGGACTGGTGGATGTGTTACTGAACCAGAAATGACAAACATCGACAATCCTTCGGCAGCAGACATAAGCGAGGAAGTCAATGGAATGCGTTGCTCCGAGCTGCTCTACTATGCTTAGAAAAATTATAAATTCTCCGCATCCAAATATGTCACATATGCCTAAGTCTTTTTCTTTTTGCACTGGCATCAATAGCGGTGTTGGAGGTCCCGTGGATGTGGTCTGTG